GAATTATAATATCTACAAACTTTACGACACACTTATTACATCTATATCATAAACGATATTTTTAAGAGTAGACGATAACAGCAGAAAAGGAAATAAGGTGAGAAGTGTATAATAGGTTATGAATGTGTAGACCTTCAATAACTCTAATCTGAACTATAAGTAAAAAGTTTCTTAGTTTATGGTTGTATTGCTTATCCTTTTTAACTTATACCTCTGCGATCTATTCCAAAAGTGATACGTAGTTTCAATGCATCTTCTTCATATGGGTTCCAGGACATAAGGGCATCCGGGGAAATGAAATATCTGATGAATGCGCATAGACTTAACCCTTGCGCAAAGGGATATTCACACTCCCCTGGTGACCCTATCAAAAATGATAGATGACTGGACTTTGAGTGAGACGGAAGTCAGGTGGTCAAATATCACCACTTGTAGAATATCGAGACTGCTTTGGCAATATTTTCCAAAAGCAATACATAGTACCAATGCTTCTTCTTGATATGGGTTCCAGGACATGAGGACATCCGGGGAAATGAAATATTTGATGACTGAGCATCCAAAGGGTCGTCCCTAGACTTATCCCTTGCGCAAATGGATATTCAGACTCCCCTGACTCCCCCTATCAAAATTGATAGATGACTGGGCTTTGAATGAGACGGAACAGGTGGTCAAATGTAGAATATCGAGACTGCTTTAGCCCACTCTGACAACGGATAGGACTAGGACTCTCTTGTCTTTTAGTAAGAACTCGATTAGGCTTCTCACTGGTATAAATACTAGGCACTGTATGATTGGACATATGTATGTCGGAACGTAAGGGGTACACACGTTAGAGCTACTGTAGAATCTGTTTGGTTCAGAAGAAAAGGAATCGGTACTAAACCTTATATGTGACTGCCCAGCCATACTAGAACACAGACTACTCTATCTAGGCAAGAGCTCTACCTCCATGATCTGGACTGTTTCAGAGATGCGTCACTAGTATTAGGAATTACGGCTGGTTTTCACGGGGACCACAAGAACCTAGTAGTCAACGATATTAGAGAGGTAAACCATTCTCTGAACTTAAGGCAATGACAATTCTAAGGGTATAACAATGGCCCTCAAGGTCTCCAAATGAACTCGCTAACTAGCAGGCAACCCACGTAACTTAACCTTCAATGCTTTTGGTTTCTCTAATCGGTACTTCCGAATAAGAATATTTTCATAGCCTACGCCACTACAGTGCGGAGATATATCAATCGGTTTAGAATCACCGTCTATACCGACTAAGCTATGGCCGTCTGTCTGTGTGTCCATGTGAAAACCTTGGCACATACTCTTCTCTTAACCCAAGAATGAAAATGGTTGAAATCGATTCATAATTTACATAGACCCCATATAATAGGGCATTGGAACTTATAATTATGTTAAATGTTGTAGTATCTTTAGAAAAAATCATAAGAACTCAGTTTTATATACATAAGTCTAAATGAAAGCCTCGATTTTCGTAATGACTCTAGTCCCCATACAAAGTCTCCTTCAGAAAATGACTTGTAAGTCAATAATTCCCTTATAAACACTATTTAACCTTTGCTTCTATATAAATACACTTTCAGAAAATAATTTTTGGGACAATGAATTATTCAAATATATCGGAATTAAGGTTAAAAATAACTTAAAAGCTTTATTTAAGAATTAATACATACTAGTACATTCCCGACTACACCCGAGATTAAATATTTATATTTTTGAGAAATTATTGAGCTTCGTATTTGTATGTCTAGTTTTAATTTAGATTTTAGAGAATATATTTATTTACATTTATATATAGAAAGTAAAAAGATAACCACAAATTATTTAAGTAGTCAAGATCATTTAATATCAAAGAAAGAAAAAAAAAACGATGTCTTTATAAAACTTTAACTTTTCTATATAAATAATAATTATGATTAATTTTTAATAATAAAAATTAAAAAAATATATTTTCTCGGTTCTATACCATATGCGTTTCTGTATCTATTCAAACAGTTATTTAAATCAGATCTGAACAACATGAAGACAATAAAATTTCTCTTAATGGGCAATAAAAATGTGGGTAAATCTACTCTTTTGGATGCATACCTGTGGAAATTGAAATATGGTAGGCCTATCATGATCACACTAGCGAAGAAATCCGTTATATAATTGATGTCATCGAAATCGAGACCGTCAAGGAATTGCGAGCACATTTTACCGAACATATCGAAATGAAAAATATATATTTTGTTTGTTTCAATGTCAACGATAGGAAGACATTGCATACAGCACGTAATGAATGGATATTGGAATTGTTGCAACACAATCCAAAAACAAGAATATTCCTTGTGGGTTTACAGTGTGATTTGCGTGATCAGATTCTAAACGAAATTAAAACAGGACTGTGTGAGTTACAGTGATGGTGTAACGATTTCACGTTACTATGAAAATGTCCAATATTTGGAATGTTCGAGCAATAAATTAGATAGTGTTGAGAATTTATTTGATAAGGCCATCAAAATTGTACTCTATGAAGATGGCCCCTATGAAAATGAACAGAAAATTATTGAGTTTTATGAACAAATACAAATAAGTTTTAAATTTAAGAGATGCGATTGTGACAGCGTTTGTGAACAGTGTGAGTAAGGTGAGGGGAAGGGGATATTATTTTAAAATTACATGTTATAATTTTTTGTATTTTATATTATTAAAATATTGACTTTAATAAAGTTTTATATTAATTTTAAAATACTAGTGTTTCTAAGTAAATCAAGCCCTCTGAAGGGGACTTTATATGGGAGCTAGGGTGAAGTGAATACCGACAATACATACACTTGAATCAATCCAGATTGGTTTTAATAATACGATATGTCCGGTTTGGCTTGAAACATCTCGAATCAGCCAAGTACGAAAAAGTTGGTTTTAGCGCAATTTAAGCCTTTGTGGGATCATAGTTATCTGATTTAAGATGAAATTCAGCATAACATAATTTTATAAAAAAATCTCTCTTTTAAGGATCGGCCCATATTTGACCCAAAGTCCCATATAAAGCCACTTTTGGAAATGTGGTTTTTCATCAATAAATTGCTTAAATACGTCGGAATTACGTTAAAATTCAACATAAACGTTTTTTTATGAAAAATAAATAATTTTTAAAATATACTAATGGTGTAGGGTGTTATATGGTCCCATGCGCCACAACAATTCCTACATATATTTCTTTATACTATTTTGTATTCAAATCAATAATATTTAACATCAATTTGATAATTTTGTTGTTAATTTTACTAACGTAAGGTCAGTTTAGTCAGTTAGTTAGTTAGTTAGTTAGTTAGTTAGTTAGTTAGTTAGTTAGTTAGTTAGTTAGTTAGTTAGTTAGTTATAGAGTAGTTCGTTAGTTAGTTAGTTAGTTAGTTCGTTAGTTAGTTTCGTTAGTTAGTTAGGTAGTTCGTTCGTTAGTTTCGTTCGTTCGTCGGTCGTTCGTTCGTCGTTCGTTTCGTTCGTTAGTTCGTTCGTTCGTTCGTTCGTTCGTTCGTTCGTTCGTTTCGTTCGTTCGTTCGTTTCGTTCGTTCGTTCTTCGTTCGTTCGTTCGTTCGTTCGTTCGTTAGTTCGTTCGTTCGTTCGTTCGTTCGTTCGTTCGTTCGTTCGTTCGTTCGTTCGTTTCGTTCGTTCGTTCGTTCGTTCGTTCGTTAGTTCGTTCGTTCGTTCGTTCGTTCTCGTTCGTTCGTTCGTTCGTTCGTTCGTTCGTTCGTTCGTTCGTTCGTTCGTTCGTTCGTTCGTTCGTTCTTCGTTCGTTCTTTCTTTCGTTCGTTCGTTCGTTCGTTCGTTCGTTCGTTCGTTCGTTCGTTTTTGTTCGTTCGTTCGTTCGTTCGTTCTTTCTTTTGCTTCGTTCGTTCTTTGTTCTTTATTTTTTTCTTTCGTTCGTTCGTTCTTTGTTCTCTCGTTAATCGGGCCAGTGCGCTCCTTTCTCAGTCCTAAGATCAACCATACCTGGGGCACACAGTACCAAGACGAGGTAAATTAATGGATCGGTTTCGATAAGCTGGAAGCACTAGAAAATTATACATCAAATTTTGTTAAATAGTCTTGTAAATGTTAACCTGTATTTTGATTACAAGATAGACTTAGACGGACGGATTAGCAAATCGACTGAAGTGGTTGTATGACCAATATTTTCTGCCGTTAGTACAGTGGTGTAGAGTAAAGCTTATATAACAGAAATATACGTCTCCTCAATGTCACAAAGAGGTCATTGTTTGTCAAAATTGTGAACTTAAATATAAAACCAAATCATCACACCTTTGTTGGATTTTTTGAAATCAATTTTATCCGATAACCACAAAGTCAAACCCTTATTAATCATGAACGTTTTCCTTTCTTTTCCCCTCTTCAACTATATTTATTAATTTACGATCAGTTTATATTTTTTTCCAATGATTAATATTCAATTACTTTTTAATATACGTTTAGTTTATTTTATCAAACCATAGAACAAAGATGAAAGAACTGAAATTTTTCTTGATTGGCGATACAAGTTCAAATACTTCAAATTTATTGGATACCTATCTATGGCAATTACATTTCGGCTATGCCTATCATGATCATATTATACTACATAGGCGCTATCGTATAACCCTTCACGAAATCTCTAGTACTGAAGAATTTCAACAGATTTTACCTCTAAATAGCTCGGAAGTCATATGCATTTGTTTACTTTGCTTTAATATGATGCGGAGGAGAACTTTCGAATCGATAAAGTATAAATGGTTAAGCCCACTTTTGGACACGAATACAAGAATATTTCTGGTGGCTTTACAGTGTAGCTTGAAGAATCGCCTCTTAACAAAATTACACCCTAATATTGGAAATGTTAAACCTATTGAGATTTCAAATTTGTGTCGAAATTATGATGGTCGAATTGGGTATTTGAAATGCTTAAATTTTAATAAGAAAAATGTTGGAAAACTATTTGAAAAAGCTATAAATAAGGTTTTGTACAGTAA